TAGGTATTCACGAGTGCAAGTATTGCCGCTCTATCCTTTTTAATCGATCCTTTACTTGTCGCAACATCTTCAGGTACCTGAGTGGAAACGGGCATACATGTATGGAGCCATCTAAAATGCTATGATATTCAGCCTAACTAACCAATTTACAGAGACTTCAAGGGTCTCAAGGGTCGTATCTCTATCATTCGTAAAGCCAAATATGCAACGAAAGCGTCACTTCCATCCCAGCTGTCCAATATACCAGAAACCAGTGAAACAGCACGGAGCGACAGTAGCACAAAAGATGCACCGAAAAAAGCGGACTCAATATTGGGGCGGTCCCGAATGGTCCCCATCTCAGCGAATCGTCTTAACACATCCAACGGGGAAAGGGAATCGGCATACCTTCCCCATCTGTTATTGAACGAAAGGCTTGTTAGTGCGCCCCTAGAAATCCAGGATAATTAGTATCTACCTCCTTTTCTGACAGAAACGCAAGTCATCAAGCACCGCAGAAGGATCTGTGGAACAGGGATACCCCTCTCGGACATCGCGGTCTAGTATGTGTCATGATTCTTTGCTGGCAATATCTTATTAACTTTTCCAGGCATAATGTCGAGAGGCCCTGATGTGAATATGACCGTTGAGTCCTTCTGTGCGGCATTGGAACCAATCGAATTGAACTTCTTCACCTGCCTTGATCGCGAACTTCAAAAAGTTGATCAATTTTACAACGCACGCGAGATTGCCGCAATCACTAGGTAAGTAGAATATTGTTACTTATGACATATAACTTGATTGAACTGTGTCCATTTCTATAGGCTATCAGAGCTAAAAGATCAACTTCGGGAGTTTCTTTATCAAAGAACGCTTTGGGGTGTGAGTAGCTACCTGTGTCCTTGTCAGCTACCCCATTTGGGCATCTTACACGCAAATTTTCAAGGAAGCTCAAAGTCGTCATAACGATTACTGGAAGCTCCCCAAGGTATTGGGCGGCGCACCGCGTGCTATTGACGAACCAGCACATTGGGACTCCCGCCCAGACCTGATTTATCCGAAAATCGACGGGGAAAGTTTCCTAGATATGACAATTCAAGAACGTCTGGCAAGAGATCCTCCAGAATATCAGCATGCCAGACGGAGGCTGAAAAAGGCACTTCGAGAGTTTTATCGAAGTCTCGAACTGCTGAACGATTACAGGGTATGCATCACAGACAAAAGCTACTATGTTGATCTTCATATATATTTAGGTCTTGAACTTTACAGGATTCCGCAAAGTAAGATCCTCTCCTTTGTTCATGAGATGCTGATATTTATTGTACAACATAGGCATTGAAGAAATACGAGAAAGTGACAAAGGTATGGCCTCTCCATAACTTCAATGTAGTTTCTATCCATAACACTCGACGTAGCGTTCGGTACAAGACCTATACATGAAAGAAAGGGTAATTCGCTCCAAGTCATTATTCAATATTCTCCAGCTGACGTGCGTTAAGATATATTCTTGCAGGTTTTCATTTAGCAGAACCATGGATGACACCATGCGCGACGTAGAAAACATGTATGCCATTAAATTCGGTAATCGGCAGTTCCATTAAATGTGTCTTCTTGCTAATTAAACTCGAATAGAGCATGGGGACCGAAAAAAAGCGAGAGAAAAATTGAAAACCCCCTTCCAGTCAAAGTCTTACTACTCAAGCATGTTCCGTTCAGGAATATTCTTAGGCCTTGCAATACCTCCTCTCCTTGGAGGAATTTACAATAGCAAGTTTTTCTTTCCAATTCAGAACTATATTGTAGTTACACTAAATTTGCACTTGACACAGGTTTTCAGCCGCACATTCGAGAAATGATACCACAGTGGGGTCCACTACTCGAAATTTATACTACCCTCATGATTATGGTTGTGTTTTCTATATTACTTGGGGTTAATATTCTAGCGTGGACCCATACACGCATCAATTTCGCGTTTATTTTCGGTTTGTTAATCTACTTCCGTTGGTAGCTTGTTTACCCAGACTTCCCTCCAGAATGGGATGTTCGTACAGCGATACATATCCGCGAATACTTCGAAGTACCTAATCAATCTTATACTCCCCGAAGTATCTCTCTAAAGTCCCTTTTTAGCTGCCCAGCTTTTTACTTGCTACTCTGTGCTTCTCATTTTGGCTGGCCTTCTCCCAAATTGGAAATGCCAATGTAGCCCCCACCTCATGGCCCCTCGTATGGATCACATTTTCCGTTATTATCATGATCAATCCACTTCCGATATTTTCGCGAGACTCTCGATACTGGGTTATACGGCGGATTTCGCGTTTACTGATACCCGGTGCATCTCCAGTAGGATTTACTGATTTCTGGCTGGGAGATCAGTTTTGTAGTCTTGCGTTCAGCGTTCAGCATATCTACACCATAGGGTGTGCTTACATCCATCACTGGGATAACGTTTTCTACCGTTGCGACTCGACGATGCATGTGATCCCTCTGCTGCTTATCATCGCTCCCTATGTCTCCCGTTTCCTGCAGTGTCTGAGGCGTTATTATGACTCGAGGTTACCCAGCCATTTGGTCAACGCACGTATCTGTCTATTTATGGCGTTCCGAATGGCATCTCATTTCCATGTTATGCAGGCAGGGAAATATTTCATGAGCGTCGTATGCTATGTTACATACTATATATGGAGATCGCGAGGTACGTTACCATCGTCTTTGCTGCACTGTTTATGTTGATTGTGTACCCTCTGACAGGGGCCCCCAGCGACGACACATTCGTAGTTTGGGTGATGGTTGCCACTATTAGTTCCATCTACTCTGTATCGTGGGTGAGTCAGAGGCAGTGAGCGTCCTCAGTAATAACAGCTCATAAATATTATCGTGGGGTAGGATCTACTTGTGGATTGGTCATTTCTGCAACGACACAGCGCTTATCGGTTCTTACGCTCAGAATTGATCTACTCCAACAATCCATTTGTATGTACTATGCTGTTTGTCTGTTTTGACCCTTTGTAAGTGACATTCTCTATCTATATAGATGTATTATTTTGCCATTGTAAGTAGCTCTTTGGAAGGTCATTAATCATTAAATCATTTATTTTGTTTTGTTAGGTTACGAACATCATACTTCGATTCACCTGGGTTACATACATCCCTGTTGGAGGATTGGATCCGCGGGTGCGTACAGCTATAATGGCTGCATTGGAGATGCTTCGCAGGTTTCAATGGAACTTTTGTGCGTACCTGTTCTATTAATTTCCTCTCAGGACTTTAGACCAATGCCTCCTTTTATTCTTCCCTAACAGACCGCCTTGAAAACGAACACATTGGTAATACTGATCAATTTCGTGCTACAAGAGAGGTTCCTTTGCCATATTCGTTCATGCGCGGTGATGACGATGATTATGACATCGAAGATCGCACCGACGATCAGATGAACCGTTACGCTGGCGTACATAGGAGGGGCGGGAAGTTGTCTCGCATGACGAGTACGCTGGTATGGAGACGGCCATAATTAAATAATGAGTCTTCAAATCTTCAAACTGTTACACGCGATTGGACGTTAAGAAGGACGATCGATAACTTGTGTTTTTTAGTCCTAGGTCTGGTAATATCCAGGATTAAAATACTGCGAGATAGTCAACAAAAGGCACGTTATAGGATCCTTGAATAACTACACTCATTGCAGATAATTACACGTAATATACGATGCCGCCTTGAGTTAAAATTACCTCCAAAACTCACTCGCTTTTTGCTCACCAGGCCTGATACCCGCTAAGGTATTTCTGATGATGTCGGCACTCTTGATTAGCTTCTGTTTGGCATCTCGTTGAATGTCCTGGCCTGAAAATCCGCCATGGGCAGCGTCGAATTCAAAGGGAGCGATACGTTCTATGATGGATGAAATGGCATCCGAGGGGAGGGGAATCTGACCCACATTAATAGAAGAACTCTTGAAATATCATGGAAATGCAAACCATATTAGGATAACTCCACAAGAAGGCGAAAGAAACCGTCCCATCAAGTCGTTCGATGTCATACAATCCAGACTAAAATATTCGTTTAGTGGACGGTGGTAAACTCTATCATATCAGCGCACCGGGACTACCATCACAGTATCTGCCGTAAATAGCCTGTTCTTCCAATGTAACACCATGCTGCCGGGAAAATGGCCACCAGCCTTTATGGCGACCGCAGCAGACTCGGGGATGATCTCCTGGACGGGGGAGGTGATGAACTTGCGAATGGACGAAGCGGAGGCATCACGACGGGAGAGCCAGCGTTCATCGTCAGAAGCAAGATAAACTGGTATTTTACCGAAAACATGCGACCATGTGCTGTGGGTGGTATAGAAGTGGGGGTGAGAAATGACGATGGCTTGGATCCCACCGAGTTCATCGATCTGAATGCTGTGAGCTTACAGAACTCAGCAACTAGAAGACTAATTAATACCTTCTGAACGGTCTCGTCGTCAATAAAGGCTATCAGATCCCATAGGATATTCCCCTGAGGTGTCCTGATTAGATGGCATCGTTGTCCGATTGGAAATCTCGGTTGAGTAACGATGGTATACACGCTCTCACCCGCACCCGGGAGTGGCTCAATGACATTCTTGAACTTCGACTGACTCTCCTTTAACGTGGTCCAAGTTTGACCAGAGGGCGGGACGTATTGCCTAGGATCCTGTTCAAAGAGGCATTAATGTTTGAGAAATATAACTGTTTCGAGATGTAGCATACGTCACAAATATGACAGCGGGAGGGAGGGTTGGGACCTTCGAATTGCGTCCCACAAGCACCACATATAGGCCTGTAGAGGTCAGTTTCAGGAATCCTTCCCATAATGGACTGTTGTAAGGTTATGGGACACACAGAGCTGGTGACATCATGTCGGCCGAGACGGGATATTTTGGTTCAGTAATAGATAACCATGGCCCAGCCAATTATAAAAAAGATTTTTTGGTCTGATTGATTTGAAAGGGAGGTGATAGGCTGAGCAAGAAAGAAAAAACGACTAAAAATGTACTGCCCCAGAGAGGCTCGAACTCTCGACCTTCCGATGTCTTAACAGTCGGACGCTATAGCCAACTAAGCCATGGGGCACTCCTGAGCTGCCCCCCTTTTTTAATCAGAAGGAGAAGCACAGTCCACTTTGATACTGAAAAACAAAATGGTTAAATTTATTAACCTTCAAATTGAATGAGATAGGATTGTCACGTTCGATTTGGCGATACGGGGCAGAGATATGGCATTCGAACTTTCTAGGATCCTCTTGTATCATGCATGTGTCAGTGTAAACTCGGCAGCTGTAGGGCTCCACCACAGAAATATTAAGAATGCTCATGGTATCTAGCATCAGGTCTAGAAACCACACTCTAATAGACACCTGTCTAGTCCTGGTAAATTTACACTTTACAGGCAGGGTTTCCTTTATTTTTACTTAATCTGGCAGTTGTCACCAAGCGGCGACCAAGTGGGGGTGGGTGCTCCACATTCAAGAAAAAAAACAACAAAAGTATTATTGCAAACCACAAGGTTGTTTACAGTAGTATGCATCGCGAAATCGTAAATCGTACATGTGCACCAAGAAAAAAAAAAGGTATAATCGCACCAGTGCTGGTGTCAGGTGTTTCAATGCTATAGCTGGATCGGTGCCGGAATTATCTTATTTACTTGTGACCTGGCGGGAACCCGCTCACTTCAACATTACCCTTTTCGTCAACTGTTGCGTGTATGGTTGACGCTTCGACGCCCTCAGTGTTCATTGCCGCAGCTTCAGCGTCGCCAAGGCCTAAAGGATCGGATACAAGCCAGATGGGACGCTGAGGCTCGCGCACGCAAGGATGCTCGAAGTCGGAGGGCTCGCTCTTCTTTGGCTTCGAAATATCTTCAGCTCCTGGTCTGAGGCCGACAGTGTCGCTTTCCACGTGTTCTTCGTGCGGATTGTTCTCGTCGTCATGGTCGTGTGCATGAGCTGCCTCTTCCCCATCCTTTGGCATACCGTATGAACGGTCCGCCAGCGTCAAGGGAAGAGAATGTAGAAGTGGCGCATATGATGCATTCATGTTATAATTGAAGAACGCCTGAAAATAGCATTGAGTCTAAGGCTAGTACCACTCAACTAACAGACGAACCGTTATGGCGATCAAAAGTACCATCAATGCGCCCTCCGGAACAGCGGCTGCCTTATTGTTTTGGTCCTGAGCCAAGAAGAAGAGCGCACAAAGACAGATTTGTTGAACGTATAAGCCAACAAAGACATGTTGGATCGCTTTTACGAAGAAAAGTCCGCCAGTGTCGCCAGACGGTGGCATGTCGAGTTGCCAGATGAATTGATACTTGTAAAGCATGTAGAAGAGTAAAAACGTGAAACATCCAAGACCGTTTATGATTGGCGAGATAATGGAATAGCCAAAAGCTAGATGAAAATAATAAATTAACAGGAATGGGTGATCCTTATGTTGTACACTCACTGATGACAACGAGCAGCGTCACGCCAGGGTATAAAGTTCCCCAGGCAACGTCACGGAGAGTATATTTAATGTTGAATATCGACCGTGGCGTAGATCCAAGGATGAACATCATCACATAGTAAAGCACGAGGGGGACAATTGTGAGGAAACCACCTGCAGTGCCGGATAAACCTTGTAGGACTGAAAAGATGAAGGACGTTAATGTTAATGCACAATCAATGGGACTCCGACATACTGATAAACGTGAGGAAGAATGTGCTTGCGCTAGGAAGCTTCGTGGCAAGGAGAGAGGGTATACCAGAAGGGTTCTTGACGAGGCCAGGAAGCGCGGCAATGATGCCAGAACTAATGCTGACGATGAGGAAACCGTGCTAGAGAGAATAATTCAGGGTAAACTCTGCGGCGGGGACTCTAGTTATTACGTACAATAACTTGGAAAATGAAGTACCGAGTCATCAAACTAAGTTCGATCCCCGTACGCGTTGGTATTCCCTCGAAGCGTGCAAGGAGTCGCAAGACGATGGGAAGTAACATGAACAGAACGGCGAGAAGCACTGCGGGCAAAATACCCTGAATAATGCCTATTAACACATCAGGCACCTTGCAGAGCCAGGCGAGCCAGGAATACGTCGTGCAGAGACTGTGGATGTTGGAGACGATACCGACGAAAGCAACTAGACGTTTGTTTAGTACCGCAAGGGCAAAATGGGTGGCTGTGATGTCTTACCCGGAATAGCCCACCCGAGAATAAGTGCAGCAGTAATGCCGACGCTGATAAGTGCACGAATGGAGGCTTCGTAGGGGTTCAGCCCCAAATTGCCCCATACGACATCATCAGGCGAGAGTTCGATGTACTTTTTAACCATACGGAATGGCTCGTGGTGAGTGAGGGACTGCGCAGCAATGTGTGCACCGATTTGTTGGTTGAAAAGGATAAACGCCGAATTAAGTGGTGGGTATTTAACTGAACCGTGCTCTTTGCCACTTTCATCATGCTGCTCTTTGTCTCCTTCCGACCCGGTACCAAGCAGCTGAGATATGTCGAGGCGTCTTTTCTTCTTGCTTGCTCTCATCTCAGAATGGAGAGTTGTACGCTGTTCTTCAAGGAGGGCTGTCGTTTCAAGGATTTCGGCACGTGCCCATTCGATGGTATCCACTTTTTTGCCAATAAGGGGCAGGGAGAAAGGGAGGGGACCGGGAGGTAGGCGGTGACTGGGACGCTTATTACGCGGAACAAGACGATCGGCAACGGTAATATCACCCTCTACATCACCATCATCCTTCGGAAGTTTACTCTTGGATTTACGGCGAATCTTGAGGGCGGTTTTGATCAAAGTATTTTCCGCGGCTTCAAGTTTGTTACAGGCCGCAAGCCGGCGATCATATAGGCTGGGGAGATCCTGAAGTTCTCGGTTAAGCCAAACCTTTTTCACACCACCAGGAGCATGCTTGAACAGCTGGATGAGATTCTGCTCAGTTAGATACTTATGGGGGATGCCGGTGACGAGGACAGTGTTGGCCTGCGCAGTGGCAGAGTGAACAGGATCCACTAGATGATGCTGACGGAGGGAAATGAACTGGCGGAGTTCCCTGTGGAGAACATACATGATATAGACTGCCTGCAAGTGAGCAAGAGTTGAACATAATAGAAAACAAAGACGTACAGGTGAATAACCAAGCGAGAATGATATGCGCTGCATATCGTTTGGTCGCGTTTGGGCTAATGTTGCCGTATGTAAATTTATCCAAGCCTGAATTGGCCCCAGTGCCAGTGTTGACGCTTGTGACTGGCATGAGGACAGCCCAACTGATAAACCAGATAGGAAGGAGTATCTCAATCATCACTGATAATATATAAGGGCAACGCAGACTAAGGTGATGGACGCCACGTACTCCGCAGAAAGCGAACGAACATGTAGGCATCGAGACCGTTTTGGATCCTAATTTGTTCGAGATCTGCCTTCCATACAGCCAACGGCCAATCGAAGAATCTTTGGGGTAGGGGTTGTACGCGCTTACTGGAGATATATGTTAGCATAATATTAATTGGGAGGGAACTGCAATAAATCTGCTGGATGTCTATGTGATCACTATAAACCCGTTTATGGGCCACGTGGAATCTCGGTCTCCCAGTGAACGAAGACGATTGGGTGCCAAGATACAGGTCCAATTTTGCAAAAGAAAAAGTCGTTCATAGCCATAACTTTTTCACCCAGCAGATAAGGGAAAGGGGATGAGGAGAAAACTTACTCCTCAGCTGTAAGGAAAGTCCGAGGCTCATAAATTGTTTTGAAATACTTGCGAATGAATGTAAAAGCGAGTATTTCTGCGCCAAAGATTGCAGCGTTGAAGACGAGGGCGGTTACAAAAGAAGCGGTTGAGGACGACTGCGCCTGAGCCTGAAGATCCGCGTCCGACCTTGACGTTTGGAGGTGAGATATAACACAATCAAGAAACGATGGAACTTACATGCTTGGGATTTAAAGGTGGATTCCGGCAGTGAAGGGAAGACAAGGGGGAGGACAACAGTCGTATTTATACTTTACCCAGAAGCCGTTCATACTTTAAGCCTTTCCGTACTTATGTATTGAATTGAATTTGAAACATTGGAGCCCCTGATTTTCGCACGCTTCTGTGACGTACATGATCGACATTGTGTCACACATACTTGTTTCAATGCCTATGTCAAAAACATACTGTATAACTCTGTCCGTTCAACGAGCTCTCCCCGTTATTCCTTCATCTCTAGCTTTTGTTTTCTGCCGTTCTGTTCTCTGCTCTCCGCTCTCCGTTTCTAATTTCTATAACGGTCCCAGCAAGAGAGAAGGTTCAAGGTACACAACTTGGCCCCCTCAATCGGACGGCACTGTAGTCCGAGTCTGTACCAACACAATCGACGATTGTCCATTCAGATACGTGCCAATTTGTGTAAGTATGGCTGCCGTATATTCCGTAACGCCGATCATCTGGCATTGCTCTAGGACAGCAAAGGACAGCCTACACAGATTTCTGTGATCCGATTGGTCAACAACTCAATCCAGTGAGGAAGTAGATACATACTTCTTAATGATCTATTCATCCATTCATTTTATGTATAAACGCGTCTAATAATGTATGTATTTAATCCTTAGTCAGACGAACCACTGTCCGTAAATGGTTCAAGTAGGCAGTCTTGAATTTCCCTGAATACCACACAGGTCACGGATGGCACTTGGATCCGAAGTCAAAGACATGTCTGTGGACATTTGTTATATAGCCAATACTAGGGAACGTCTACCAGTGGGGTTGACCCGTTATGTATATGGACGACCTAGAAGCTATCATACTGGCCAGTAAACAGGTACCTCGGAAGGTAGTGTCTCTAGTCGAGCACAGCCGAACAAGCGAGCATTCCTGCGTGAGGCTATACTTTTATTTGGTGAATCACGGGCTCCTTCCTACCAAGAGTTAGGTATATATCTCATTTCCTACCACGTGAAATATTTTTAACCATTATGGAACTAGCCATAAATACCAAACATGCATATGCAGAACTATATAGAAGTTCAAAGTTTGCATCCCAAGATATATTGACGTAGCCTAATGAATTTATCTTTTTGTTACTGTATATACTAGTACAACAAAATTAAGCTGTAGTATGACAAAATAAGTCTGGAATGGGAAAGATTTAGTTGCAGAATGTTACAACGGTGTCATCATTGTTCAGTATCTGTTGAATGTAGCCACTGTCACTCAAGCCTTGTTAGCTCAGTCGGTAGAGCGTAAGATTCTTACAGTCCCTCTGACCGGGTAAGAATGTTGAGGTCGCGGGTTCGAATCCTGTGCGAGGCTGTATTTTTTTGTTAAATCACGGTCTCCTTCCTACCAAGAAGTCCCTATTGAACCAAATATATATATATATTTCTGAACGCGTGAAATATTTTTAAGAATTATGGAACTAGCCATTAAGTACCAAATATGCATACTATAGAAGCTCAAAGTTCGCACCAAGATATATTGACTTAGACTTATGAATTTATCTTTTGTACTGTATATCCTAGTACAACAAAATTAAGGTGTAGTATGAAAAACAAGTCTGGAATCTGGGAGAAAAAAAAGCAAACTCAAATGCACAACGTTGCAAGTGTTGTGGCTGTTCAGTATTTGTTAAAATGTAGACATTGACGTTCATGCCTTGCTAGCTCAGTAGGTAGAGCGTGGCACTCTTACAGTCCCTCTGACAGGGTAAGAGTGTTAAGGTCGCGGATTCGAATCCCTTGCGAGGCTCTATTTTATTTTGTTAAATCACGGCCTCCTTCCTACCAAGAGTTCCTATTGAACCAGATATATCTTTTTCCCAAGCGCGTGAAATATTTTTAAGAATTGTGGAACCAGCCATTACAAATATGGATATTATAGAAGTTCAAAGTTCGCACCAAGATATATTGACTTGGACTTATGAATTTATCTTTTTGTACTGTATATCCTAGTACAACAAAATTGAGGTGTAGTCTGGAATGGGGAAAAAATAGCCGACTCAAATGCAGAACGGTACAGGTGTTGTAGTTTCTCAGTGTCAGTTAGAATGTAGGCATTGACACTTGTGCCTTGTTAGCTCAGTTGGTGGAGCGTAAGACTCTTACAGTCCCTCTGATCGGGTAAGAGTGTTAAGGTCGCGGGTTCGAATCCCGTACGAGGCTATGCTTTTATCCTGTTAAATCACAGGCTCCTTCCTACCAAGAGTTTCTATTGAACCAGATATATATCTCTTTTTCCAAGCGCGTGAAATATTTTTAAGAAATGTGGAACTAGCTATCAAGTACCAAATATGCATATTATAGAAGTTAAAATTCGCACCAAGATATATTGATTGACTTTGACTTATGAATTTATTCCTTTGTCACTGTAAATACTAAGTACAACAAAAGTAAGGTGTAGTGAGACAAATGTCTGGAATGTGGTAGCAGACTCAAATGCAGAAATTTACAATGGTGGTGTTGTTGTTCAGTATCTGCCGAAAACCTAATCGAATTGAACACCTCCATTGATACTGATCGGTTGACCTTCAAAACAAGTTGAATATTTACTTAGTTGCCTCAAATCAAGCACACCTGTTATGAACTTCGTTTCGTCTCTGGCCAGATGCAATTGCCAGAGCAGCTATGACAGGGAACTCCGTTTGAGCTTCGCCTCATGTACATGCAGGTAAAGTTGCTTCCTCTGAGAATATGAAGTTACTCACCTTTCGCAGCTCGTGTGTTCTGATCTTCATGGACTGGATTGGGTGCTAATAGCATAGGGGGACCACTGAGGGAATACAATACACTGAGGAATATCGGCAGCACCAGGAGCGTATGTATTGACAGTAATTCTGTATTTGCGCCATTCCCCAACTGACCGTCGTGAGCATAGGAACAAATTGATAGACCAATTTACCTACCGGCCGATTGTGTCAAGCCCCTTACACCGAACTTACTGGCGGAATATGCAGCCCATTCGGAAGTACCTATAAAACATTATTCCGCCTGGTAATAAAACTACCCACAACAGCCTCAAACCTTTCTTTGAAAGATTGTTGTTGCGCCTGGAATTACAAGTTAGGAAATGGAATAATTGGGTGAGAGAGGGTCGGACCAATTATGCGCCCCTCCTCTTCCTTGTTTGATCATCTGGATTGCTGCTGCCTAAAATGCGCTGCGCAGGTTGAATGCCTGAATATGATCCCATTCATCGACAGAAACTATGTTTATTGAGCCTTTGTGCTCCCAACTTGAATGGACCGAAAGAAAAGATAATTGGCCGTCGACGATCGGACTGGAGATCCCCATGCCAGCATTTGCCACCATCTTGTTATCGTTGGGCGTAGTTAACACAACCCAGGTTGCTGACCAAAGCGCCGAGTACATCCGTCTCTTTTGGCATATCGCTATCAACAAGATCGAGACGGTCTTCAGCGAAACGGAGTGCAATTGCCTTTCCAATCCCATGGCATGCGCCAGTTACCACAACAACACCACTAGTTGAATTATCAGTCATTGTAAGCCCGGGGAAGTTTTGCGGTAATGCATATGATTCTCTTTTATCTATTACCGATCTTCATTGTCGCACATGAGAAAAGTTGCTCGTGGCAGCCGACTCACAAGTGCCAGAATTATTAGTATCCTTCTGTCTGGCACCAACCGGTCTGCCCATATCGTTGAGTTAGTATGTAAATAGTGTATTTGAGAGGACCAAAGACCACATGATTAAAGAGTGCAGAAGGGAAAATATTATTCCTTGTGGCAGTATGACAAATGTCTGGAATGTGAAAAATAACAGACTCACGGTACAGGTGTTGTGGTTGTTCAGTATCTGTTAGAATGTAGGCATTGTCGTTCAAGCCTTGTTAGCTCAGCGGTAGAGCGTAAGATTCTTACAGTCCCTCTGACCGGGTAAGAGTGTTGAGGTCGCGGGTTCGAATCCCGTGCGAGGCTATACTTTTCCTGCGTTAAATCCCTCCCTTGAGTTCCTATTGAACCAGATATTTTGTTTTTCCAAGCGTGTGAAATATTTTTAAGCATTATGGAACTAGCCATTAAGTACCAAACATATATATGCAGAGCTATATAGATGTTCAAAGTTCGCATCCCAAGATATATTCACTTAGCCTTATGAATTTATCCTTTTGTCACTGTAAATACTGGTACAACAAATGTAAGGTGCAGAGACAAATCTCTGGAATGTGGCAGACTCACATGCAGAACGTTACAACGGTGTTGTGGTTGTTCAGTATCTGTTAGAATGTAGGAGCTGTCTTTCATGCTTTGCTAGCTCAATCGGTAGAGTGTAAGACTCTTATATAGTCCCTCTGACCGAGTAAGAGTATTAAGATCGCGGCTTCGAATCCCGCATGAGGCTATACTTTTATTTTGTTAAATCACGGGCTCCTTCCTACATGACAAATGAGTCTGGAATGGGGAAAAAAATAGCAGACTCAAATTCACACAACGGTGGTTGGTGTCTAGGTTCAGTAGTAAGCTCAGAATATATATCTCGCCATTGGACCAATGAAATTGACAGTTCAATATCAAAAGGCTTTATCTGTCTATGAGTCAAGTAATATGGTCCAGATGCAGCAATAATTCTGATGGACTGGTGTTTTTGCCATGGTCTGAAAAAGAAGGCTGGACAATCACACGTGGAGCGGAAACTGGGCCCGATAACTTCTGCGGACAAATGGGGTCTGGATATTTCACGGTAGCCAGTAAATTGTTTACTTTCGGGGGGAAAGGAACAAATGGACGACTAGCATTACGCGACAGAGGCGGTTGGATGCTGGATGAGGCTTGACTTGTTTAACCCAATTTGTTTGTATCTGATTAGTTTTACCTTGTCTATATGGTATAGAGTGTAGAATAGCTAGCGTTTCCTTCTAATATTTGAAACTTCTCTCCTTGATCACGACCTTCCAGCCTATGTACCGATTCCATATCCAACGGCAAAGGAACACGGGGAGAGCAAGTATAATATAGACATGCGTAGACTTACCAAGTAGCATCTCTAAAAATGATATACATAGTAATGTTCAAGTTGCACCTGGCGTCCTTGTTTTAGCTCTGATTTGTTAGCCGAGTTCCTAGGCTAGTTCCATATGCTTAAGAATATTTCACGCGCTTGGAAAAAGATATATATATATGTCTGGTTCAATAGGAACTCTGGGAGCCCGTGATTTAACAAAATAAAAATACAGCCTCGTACAGGATTCGAACCCGCGACCTCAACACTCTTACCCGGTCAGAGGGACTGTAAGAATCTTACGCTCTACCGCTGAGCTAACAAGGCTTAAATGACAATGCCTACATTCTAACAGATACTGAACAACCACAACACCTGTACGTTTTGTATTTGACTCGGCTACTTTTTTCCCAGATTCCAGACTTAATTGTCATACTACACCTTAGTTTTGTTGTTAGTATATAACAGCAAAAAAGATAAATTCATAAGGCTAAGTCAATATATCTTGTGCAAACTTTGAACTTCTATAATATGCATGTTTGGTACTTAATGGCTAGTTCCATAATTCTTAAAAATATTTCACGCGCTTGGAAAAGATATATATGCCTCACGGGGGATTTGAACCCGCAACTTTTACTACAGGAGACCGCAATTGGATCCTACCAAGTTGGAATTGATTGTAAAGTGTGAGCATAATATATAAAATAGTATAACAATACTCTTTGCCACGGCCTCTTTATTAAAATTTTTTTCTGGGAGCAAACCAACATATTCTAGTTTAGACTCAGTCGGGTGCCAGCCTGACCGAGATAGCCGAAAGAAAGTTAAATAAGGTTTGAAGTTTCACCATCACGTGATAACACGTGACATCTACCATTTGGTCACGTCGTGTTTTTATGGACGCGTCTTGGACTAAACCACCACCATTACCCTCGCTCTTCACCTAACCTTTTATTTTTACCCAAATGGCTCGCACAAAGCAAACCGCTCGTAAGTCTACTGGTGGTAAGTGACCATTCGTTCTAGTTGGAAGTGAATTCTCATTAGTGTACAGGCAAGGCCCCCCGTAAGCAGCTCGCCACCAAGGCCGCACGTAAGACTGCCGCTGCCACCGGTGGTGTTAAGAAACCTCATCGGTTCAGGCCTGGTAAGTTATCCTAGCTGTTGAACTTCACGCTTTTGACTAATGGGTATTCATAGGAACCGTCGCCTTGCGTGAAATCCGTCGCTACCAAAAGTCCACAGAACTTTTGATTCGCAAACTTCCATTCCAGAGGCTTGTCCGCGAAATCGCCCAGGATTTCAAGGTAAGAAACTCTTCAACCAAATCATTATCCATTGACTTTCCATCATTCTAGACTGATCTCCGTTTCCAATCATCGGCTGTGATGGCACTGCAAGAGGCCTCCGAGGCTTATCTTGTTTCGTTGTTTGAAGACACCAATTTGGCCGCTATCCACGCGAAGCGGGTATGTCTCTGCTTTCTATCCCACACTGAAAACTCATCATCGTCTTAGGTTACCATCCAACCAAAAGATCTTGCCCTTGCCCGCCGGTTACGTGGTGAACGATCATGATTCGAGATTTTTGACCGGGACTGTTGTATTATTGATATTGTAATCCTATTCACATCATTTAGAATTTCCATTATATTACAAGACTCTAGCGAGCTTGCGAACAAGGGATACCATAAGTACTTCGTTCTTCCCAGCGAAATATAAGAATGGTAATTATTGGGGCACTGCCGCAGCATAGGCAGCCTTATCTTTGCTTCGTTCCATTGCTAGATGGGGAAGAAATCAGGAGTTAAGAGACGTGAACGAAGTAGGATCACAAACGGTTGTAGTGCAGAAGCTTTTCAATGAGATCTACATGAGTGAGAACCATTCGCCGACAGCAGTATCTTTTCAACTGCAGTTCATCTAGGGCGTCACTGCATTGACGTTTGAGTATAAATCATAGAAGAAACATGGAACACATACCCCTCACTGACATCATTTGCAAGGAGATCGAGGTATCGATTCCACTTATCACCGATGACCTTCCCACATGAAAAACAGCGCACAGGGATGATCTATAAACACTTATGCCATTAGCACAACGAAGGGTACACACCGCGATTTAGTGCTCACCATCTGTGGCAGAAGGAACGGAGTATGAAAATGTCGGGTGATCACGTGGTGTGACCTATTTGTTCCGTTACGCGTGCGACGCGTCTAAGTCGCGTTCGACCTTCAACCGCGTTTTCATAGACTAGTATCACTCACAATAAGCTGAAGATCTGCCCCAATGACATTCAATCTTCAAGAGGAGTGTCAGACACTCCAGCAAGACATTTCTAACTATACAATACCCAATGATCACGATGTACGCAATATGGACCAGGCGGCAGTTGTTGATTTACTGGATGGTGTGTTTACAACTGTTGCTTTCCTTATTTTTAGGAATGCTAATGCTTGCTACAGGCGCGATTGAGGCGACTGCCCAGTCATCGGATGCCATTACTCAAGTCGAAATTTTTGACGTTTATCGTTCTCTGTTGAAGTACGCCCGTTTGAAGATAAATTAAACCATCATTGATGATGATCTGATAGAGGCATTGACGCTCTCAATTCTGCCACAATCAGTAAACTTCTTGATTCGATTAGCTCTGGTTTGCTGGGAGAAGTGGATGCCGCTCAACGCACTCTCGACACGCCCGACGCGGACTCTACCGCGTTATCAGAGCACAAGCGACCGTTGGAATACTACGCCTTTTTGTTACAGTGGTTTGTGCTCGCAGCAGACAAAGTTGTCCAGGCCCGTGGTCCGCCGTCTCCATCTTCAAAGCCTAAGCGGGGTGCGAAGGGAAAGGCCGGGGGTAAGAAGAAAGGCGGGACAATTGCTGATGTTGTTGGTCCGTGGACGTGGGAGAGTCAAATACCTGTGACATTAGCACTGATATCGAAGGTGCTAAGGCTGAAGACCCATCGATTGTGGACTACCAGCGCAGAGCGAGACGCATTCATCAAGTGAGTTATCAAGTTCTAATGTACAACGCGAATGGAAGACTAACATGATAATACTTTCAGCTGTGTGACAAGGCCTGCATACATTATTACCGAGTCGGAAGCTTACATGAAGAACAATGAAGTCAGGTTAGGAGTGTATAAAATTATCTGTCTAGCCGTGAAGCATCACGGCCATGGCTTTGGCGCGCAAATTTCAATCATGCAATGTCTGCAGTATTTCGAACATTTATCAGAACCCATGGCGGAAGCCCTCACTGTTCTCGCGAAGGAGTTTGATCACTCACAATTGGCCGAAGAAATTCTCAGGTGAGTACGTTGAGCATTGGTCACTTATTTGCTCTAATGATGCATCAGAGAAATTGCTGGTAAGCAGTTTAATGCCCAGGACACCAAGGGACCACGATCATTCTCCCGCTTCCTTATTCGCTTTGCTGAACTATCCCCTCGGATCCTCCTTAAGCAAATCAGTTTACTACTTTGCCATCTTGATAGCGAGGTAATATTTTTATATATTATGTTACGCATACTCTAAGATTCGGCTCCAGTCGTACCCCATGCGTATGGCCTTGGTCGAAGTCATCGGTATGCTCATCAGGGAGATTGCAATGTCGGACGAAGGCGAGCAGGAATCTAGGGAGAAAAAAATCAACAATCTCTTCGAGCTCTTGACCGAGCGATTTTTGGATCTAAGCAGCTATGTTCGGGCCAAAGTCATCAACACGCTAAGTCGTCTTTGCGAGTGCGTGTTCACAATTATTTCTTCTCATATGCACTGAATAAAAATCGTATTTTCAGTTTGCCCGTGAAATTCCCTAAGCAGAGACTCGTCTCGACTGAATTAACAATTGGCGCTTTAGAAGACAAGGCCTCATCTGTGCGACGATATGCCATTGCGCTACTTACGAAATTGATTCTCACACATCCATATGGCCTGATGCATGGCGGCCTCCTGCGAATAGAGGAATGGGAGACCCGATACAAGGCTGTTAGTGCTGAATTGGAACAGGTAGAAACAAAAGAGATGGAGAGACCTCCTGTAGAGAAAGAAGGTGAGGGCGACGAAGACGAGACTGAAGACAGTGACGAAGAAGAAGATGACGACGGTGCCGCTGAAACTGACGAAAGCGATTCTACGAATATGCAATCCTCGCCAGTCAAATCTACACCCGCACGCACCCCGAAAACGCTCAAGAGGCAAGCCATTACATCCAGTTGCTCCAGGGATCTGTTGATAATTGTATTGTAGATCTCGCTCGAAGAGCATCGCGACCCCTGGGCTTGGCGAAATAACTGAAGGAGAAGAAATGGATATTGATGAAGACGACGACGACGACGAAGGCTTCGATGAACGAATGGATGACCTACTGGATGTTGCCATGGAGGACTCAAAGG